GGGGGGGTCAGTTGTAGCCCTTTAGAAGAGCAGTACCTAAGAGCAATAGCTATACCCTCACACCATGCAGAGTGGTTGATGGATTTCTAACAGAGTACAGAGCATAGACTTGACATTTTATGATATATCCCAGATCGGGCACTGCCGTGGCAGCCACTCTTTGTTCTTTATTACTTAAAAAAAGAAAGAAATATAATTCCCTTCTCTGTTTTGCACCATGGATCCGCAAAAGGACTCTACAAAATTCTTACTACAGTTATCCGCAAACGATAAATCTAAAACGATGTAATAAGTGAGAAGCTCAGAGGTAGGCAAATAAGCATCAGAATGAATAGATTTTGGGAATACAGGCTACCCCCCCCCTCCCACACACACACACACACACACACACACACACACACACACACACACACACACATACACGAAATAATATTGAAGATAAAATGAAGGCCAAAAAAGCCGTAGGTGATTTTATAGTGATTATATAGATCTATAATCAATAATAATATCTTCTTATAAGAAATAAATAATGAACACGTAAAAATCGGGATTTCCAAAAGCCCGTGTTTAGCTATTTTTATCTTTATCAGGCGATACCAAAGAGGTTATTATACTTAAATTCTAGAGTTCGTAGCAGTGACGTCACACATATCGGACATAGGGGCCTTCTTTCCCTCATCGGCTTGGCCGGCGTGCCCCCATTTACAAGGACAATCTGAGCCCCCACCCCGCTCCCCACGAGCTCTTGTATATTAATCACCACCCTGCCCCGAGGCGCTAAACTATATATATTTACTACCTCGCCCTGCCCCCATATTTCAGTGCAGGCTTTAGATTTCCTCCTCAGACCGCCGAGACGTCTGTTGAACTGCGCATGTCGTGCGTCCCAGAGTAGGCACACGCAGCCCCTGTTCGTTTACGTGAGGGACATCGACTACCATGAACTCTAGTACAATAGAACCTCTTTGGGCGATACATAATATTATGGATACTTATCGTGCGGTCAAAAATTCGCGACTCGAACTTATTGTCAAGTATTTCCTTAAACTATCGAACATAGATCTAAGTTCTCCAGCTTTAGCACCAAAAGATTCTTTAATAAATACATGTATTAATAAAAAATCAAAGTGGGTGGTTGCTACAGATTTTAAAAGGCTTATAGTACAGCTGGTGCAATATATACATGCATATATACACACACACACATACACGAAATAATATTGAAGA